AAAGAAAGACTTCAAACTAAATCCAATATTCTTCCTATTTTTTTCTTGGACCAGGCTTTAAAGGGTTAAGTAGCTAATTGCTAATTAGATGGCATTTATGGCCTAAACCGAGTGTCTAAGACCAGGATCTCCTCAGATATTTACTGTGGACATGACTCAAATAACAATTAGGATTGTTTTTTTAGTCTCATTGGTTCAGGTTTCAGTATTTCAGACCAAAAAAGCTGTGTTTATCTTTTATAGACAGTGCAAAAAGAGTAGTACTGGTCATGTTATCTAAGGACTTCAGCTTTGATGCTATGCTAACATTTTCGTACAAAACGGAGCCAGATTTCTACGTTTCTGGAAACTAGTGGGTGTTTCCAGGAACAGTGAAGGTGTTAAGCTCTGAAGCTAAACTACCAGCTCGCATTGATTAGCAGAGAAACGCGTCTATTTTTAGTGAGAATCCAACCAGCCAAAGTTGTTTATCATTAGGAGAGGAAATGTACAAGTGACACAGGCTGAATTAACCATTAAGCCGTGACTCTTTCTGTTCCACTTCATTAAACACAGCAGGATTCATACCATTTCATTTTTACAAGTAGATTAGCAAACAGGCTTTTTTTTCTTTTACTGCCTAGAACCATTGACTTGGATAATAAATAAAGTGACACGCTATAATAACTGTAGTAGCAAGCTATAATTAATGTTCACATTATTATATCTTGGAAAGATGGTGAACTTTCTCATTCCACATAGAAATGTTAGAAATTTGTACAATCTACAAGTAGATTTCCAAATAGGCTTTTTTTCTTTTACTGCCTAGAACCATTGACTTGGTTAATAAATAAAGTGACACGCTATAATAACTGTAGTAGTAAGCTATAATTATTGTCTATGCTGCACTCCTCAGTTAAAAATAATTAATGTTCACATTATTATATCTTGGAAAGATGGTGAACTTTCACATTCTACATGAAAATGTTAGAAATTTGTACAATCTACAAGTAGATTTCCAAATTGGCTTTTTTTCTTTTACTGCCTAGAACCATTGACTTGGTTAATAAATGAAGTGACACGCTATAATAACTGTAGTAGTAAGCTATAATTATTGTCTTAGTTATTGTCCTCAGTTAAAAATTATTAATGTTCACATTATTTTATCTTGGAAAGATGGTGAACTTTCACATTCTACATGAAAATGTTAGAAATTTGTACAATCTACAAGTAGATTTCCAAATAGCCTTTTTTTTTCTTTTACTGCCTAGAACCATTGACTTGGTTAATAAATAAAGTGACAGGCTATAATAACTGTAGTAGCAAGCTATAATTATTGTCTCTGCGGCACTCCTCAGTTAAAAATAATTAATGTTCACATTATTTTATCTTGGAAAGATGGTGAACTTTCACATTCTACATGAAAATGTTAGAAATTTGTACAATCTACAAGTTGATTTCCAAATAGCCTTTTTTTCTTTTACTGCCTAAAACCATTGACTTGGTTAATAAATGAAGTGACACGCTATAATAACTGTAGTAGCAAGCTATAATTATTGTCTTAGTTATTGTCCTCAGTTAAAAATAATTAATGTTCACATTATTATATCTTGGGAAGATGGTGAATTTTACATTCCAAATGAAAATGTTAGAAATTTGTACAATCTACAAGTAGATTTCCAAATAGCCTTTTTTTCTTTCACTGCCTAGAACCATTAACTTGGTTAATAAATAAAGTGACACGCTATAATAACTGTAGTAGTAAGCTATAATTATTGTCTTAGTTATTGTCCTCAGTTAAAAATAATTAATGTTCACATTATTATATCTTGGGAAGATGGTGAACTTTCACATTCTACATGAAAATGTTAGAAATTTGTACAATCTACAAGTAGATTACCAAATAGGCTTTTTTTCTTTTACTGCCTAGAACCATTGACTTGGTTAATAAATAACGTGACACGCTATAATAACTATAGTAGCAAGCTATAATTAATGTTCACATTATTATATCTTGGAAAGATGGTGATCTTTCACATTCTACATGAAAATGTTAGAAATTTGTACAATCTACAAGTAGATTTCCAAATAGGCCTTTTTTTCTTTTACTGCCTAGAACCATTGACTTGGTTAATAAATAAAGTGACAGGCTATAATAACTGTAGTAGTAAGCTATAATTATTGTCTTAGTTATTGTCCTCAGTTAAAAATAATTAATGTTCACATTATTTTATCTTGGGAAGATGGTGATCTTTCACATTTTACATGAAAATGTTAGAAATTTGTACAATCTACAAGTAGATTTCAAAATAGGCCTTTTTTTCTTTTACTGCCTAGAACCATTGACTTGGTTAATAAATGAAGTGACAGGCTATAATAACTGTAGTAGCAAGCTATAATTAATGTTCACATTATTATATCTTGGAAAGATGGTGAACTCTTACATTCCACATAAAAATGTTAGAAATTTGTAAGAATATCTTGGATAATGGACTCATTTCTCCTTAGGAAGATTTAAAATAACCGAAGTTGCCAAAGCTCTGTACAGGTCAAAATAAACATAAAAAGCAAACATAATGTACATAAATATATGTCATTTTAATGTAAAATAAAGAGGTAAAAAGGTTAAAAAAAAAAAGGTAAGACCGTGCTTTACCTCAACCTAAAGTTAAAACTTTAAAAGCCATGTCAGATAAATGAGTTTTTAAATAGGACTTGAACACCTCTATGGTCTGGGCAGATCTTATATCAGATCTTATATTATAAATTACATGTTACAGTGTGGTTAACTGTCTAATTTGTGTCTGTGTCAGGTCCCCTCTCACAGAATAAAAGCTGTGATGGGTTTCTGCCCTTGACCTGAATATATATAGAAAATAGATGGATGGTAATCAATGGTAATCAATATGTTCCATTATCCTCTCCCAGACTAATTACAAATATATTCCTGCCAGTGTAAAAAAAAAATAAAAGAGCTAAACATCAAAATCAGGAACAACCCTCTTAGAAATTAGGTTAAAAAAAAGAAAGAAAAATTATTAAACCAGATGTAAAATACGTCAAACGTAGAAGTACATTAGGAGTTTTCAGAGGTTTTTTTCTCATACAGAAAAAAAAGATCAGATTTTAAATAATATTTTTAAAGCAAATGTGGATTCTACATATGCAAATGAGTTGTTATATACCATTCTGGACAAAATACTTAAATTATTAGAGACATGGATAGACGTAACTCTCCCACTATGTCCTCATCTGTGTATTTTTGGAGACAAAACAACAACAACAACAACAATAACAACAGTATTGATGGTTGGGCTAACTTAGACTCTGGAAAGCAACCCTAACCCTAACCCTAACCCACATATCCCAGGAATGGAAAATGTTAATGAATCAAACTGGAATATATTAAGTTATTCTGACTAGATTAAGATGCAAAAGGACATATGGTGTTAAACAATTAGGATTTCTCTCAATTGTATCTCACTTCTTAATGGTTTTATTATATAAGACTGGCAGGAATGTGAGAATTACAGTTTTTAACCTTGTTATCATATTGGATTAGACATGTACAAGCTTTTGCTTCTTCCATCCCCTTTTCAAGCCATGCATAAGTATTGTTTGTCATTATATGTATTGTAAAATGTGTGCAGGTTTGAAATAAACTTTTGAAATGAAAAATATTGGTGTGTTAAGATACGTGTGTATATTAGACACATATATTTCATATTGTGTTACCATTTTTTTTTTCCTATTTTTTTTTTTTCCCTTCTTCATCATCCAGGAGCACCTTTTATTTTTACTTTAATTGTCTGACCGTGTGTTTAGCTTTTACTTTCTACATATTATACCATGCAAGCTTTGTACCGTATTTATTTGATTGTTCAAATAAAAACTTAAATAGCAAATGAGTTGTCATTGGAGCGAAAGCAAAAGGAGGTTTAATTATTTTTATTTTATTTTTTAAAAGGAGGTTTGATTTTTAAATTTTTTTTTTTAAGGAAGGTTAATTTTAAAAAATTTTTTTAAAGGAAGTTTAATGATGCATGTTCTCACAGAACAAAGTGTGTTCTATCCTGAAAGGCATCAAGTGGCCAGAAAATGGCCCCGGCCTTAATCTGAGGTCTAATTTATGTTGGAAAATAACACAAAAAATAAATTATTTAAAGTTTCTGGCTTGGAACTGCAAAGATGATCCATCACCAGCAGCACAAAGAAGCTACAGACAGATTTTATTAGTGAACTCCTTCAATAGTTCAAGCAAAAGACAAAGGAGAGTAAATCCTGTTATCTCCTGTTATTTTACAAAATAATAAAGCTGAAGAAAGGTCCCAAAAGAGTGGTTAGACTATAACCTTTTCAAGCTGTTCTACACTCTACCTCAGCCTTCTGTTCCTTGCGAGTATAAACTTTAAAGCAAAACAATTATCTGTAAATTTCCAACTTCAAACTACCATAAATCATTATGTTTCAAATGTAACCCACCTAAAAAGTACTACAACTACTGTTTCCATTTCTTTAAGGA